TGAGCTGTGCACCCCGAGACCCAAGACAAGTGCCCTGACCTTCAGTGTGCACCCGGAGATCCCCAGGAAGGGCCCCGGCCTTGAGCTGTACCCTGAGATCTCCCGGCAGGGCCCTGGCCTCGGCGTGCACCCCGAGATCCCGGGGCAGCCCCGGCCTCAGCGTGCCTGCCCTGGAGACCGGCCTTCCGGCGGTAACAGAGACAGGTGGCGGCCGGGAAGTGGCCTGGACCCCCAGGACTGTGTCCCTCCAGGGGCACCGGAGTGTTCGCTCCCTTACGCAGGGACGCCCTGGCCGGGGAGAGCCCGAGGGTGCGGCTCTGCCTGTGGCCTCGGGCAGGTTCAGAACCTCCGGCAGCCGGCATCTGAGGCTCAGGGCACAGGTTTGCAAGAGCCGTGGCTCCACCCAGAGGGCTGCGGGTTCTCGGGGTGCCCAGGCTTCTGCTTCCTGCCCCTCCAGTCTCCAGCGCCCCCAGAAGCCTGGGCCTGGTCTGGCCTGGGGTAGGCCGAGGACGGGTGGAAAATGCAGGGGAGGGGAGGGGGGCGGAGCGGAGCGGCGTCTGCAGACGCGTCATGTCACATCGGTGGGGTGGAAACCGCAGCAGGACCCGCTGCCGGCTAGCGAGCCCGAGGCCTGGCTACGGCGCCCACCGCGCCCACCGCGCCCTCAGCGCCCGCTGAGTTCCCGCAGGCCCCTCCCGGCACACAGACCCGTTTGCTGCCCCCCGGCCGGCCAGCCCGGCTCCCGCCCTGGCCTCCGCTGGCCTCTGCCGGCTTTGTTTCTGGGCGGCCAGGGAGAGCTTTCACAACCGTCACTTCGATCACGAGTGTCCCTGGGGTCCTCGGGCGGTCCCGTCGTGCCGGGACAGGGGTCCTGGCGTGGCTCCTGCAGCCTCGGCGCCCCGGGCCCGGGGGTCCTGGGCCCTCCAGCGCTCCCTCACGGTCTCCCGCCCCTCGCCCTTGACCGGGCTCCCGCAACGCTGTACTGGGACGTTTTCCAATCACAAAATCAAGCCGAAAGGGCTCTACGCAGCATGAAGAGACCCACCGGCCGATAAACACCGTCCTGACTAGCTCACCACCTCCTCCTGCCGGCCCCCGGCCCAGCCTGGGCCGGCCCCCGGACTGCGGTGCAGACCCCAGGGCGCCTTCACCCCCACGTCCGAGGAGGCGGACGGGGCACCGATGAGAATTCTGGGGCCCAGGCCCTGCCTGGGTCCACGGGGAGAGGTGAGCCCGGGCCCTCGCTGCTGCCTGCCCCTCCACTCAGCTCCTGGACGGGGCCACCCAGGGCTGGGGTGCCCACTGCACGCTCCAGAGCTCCAACTCAGAGGCACTTTGCGGGGCTGGGCGGGGAGAGGCGGCTGTAAAGCAGCTTCTGATCTCCTCCCAAAGGGACAGCCTAGGTCAAGTCCAAGTCCAAGGTGCTGGAGAAAGGCGGCGGGCAGGTCCGCAGGGGCCGGGCAGACAGCCCCGGGGCGAGCACCCTGCCAAACACCGACTGCTGACACTTCCTGCAAGGCGACGCTGATGGGATGCGTCTGCGGGACAACTTAAGGCCGAGGACATGGCTGGCAGGAATTGAGGAGACGCCCAGCAGCTGGATGCGGCCAGGGCCGGGAAGCCTCGGGGGCCGCTGTCACCTTGGCCGCGGGCACGCACAGGGCTGTTCTCTCTGGAAGCGGAGCGCGGGCCCAGGAGCGGGTAGGGAGGGAGGGAAGCCCACAGACGCCAGCTGGCACGCTAACAGCAGCCCAGGCGCGGGTGACGGCCGGCCGAGGGCAGAGTGGCCCGGAGGGCAGCTCCTTGCCGGCCCGTTCAGTCACTTGTCCCTTACTACTTGACAGGAAACTTGGGTGTTTCACGGCCCTGAACATCGTGGCCCGACCTGCCGCCTGCCCGGACCCGCCGTGTTTGTTACCCCCGTGATGCCGTCAGGGTCCCCGGAGCCGGGGTCCGCACCCGGGGGGCGAGAAGTCCCTTCGGTGGGGCGTCCCTCCCCATCGCGCCCTCCCCTCTGGGTCAGCCTCCGCTCCCGTCTGGCTTCATCTTTGGGGCGCAAAGTACCTGGGCACGCGCCCTCCACCTGGCTTTGATACTGCCTCCTGGGGAGCGGACCCGGTGGCCGAGAGCCCCCCCGGCCTGCCTGCCAGCCCAGACCAGGCCGCCGCGGCGCAGACCCCGGTGGGGGAGGGCGGAGGGGCCAGGCAGGCCACAGACGCGCCTGCCTTGGGCGGCTGGACGGGGTGACCCGCCAGCCGGCATCAGGGCGCCCGCGGCCCCCTCACCTTCATCACTGGTGTGAGGCTCGGTGCTGTTGTCGTGGTCCACTTCGTCAATGGTCCCCGGCTCGCTGTGCGGGCTGTCGCTGCAAGGCCACGGAAGGGCCCTTAGGCCGCTGTCCACCCTCTACCCTGCCCAGCCTCCGCGGGCACCACCCAATCACCCCGGGCCTCACCCACACCCGCCCAGGCCCTGCACCCCATCCCGGGCCTCACCCACACCCGCCCAGGCCCCTGCACCCCATCCCGGGCCTCACCCACACCCGCCCAGGCCCCTGCACCCCAT